AGTCCAAGTCAGCCTCCTACCTGCGGGTTATTTGAGTAATGCTTCCATTCCTGTGGGTTACTTGAGGATATCCTCTCTCTCCGCCCTATATTTACCAGCACAAGCTAGCCCGTTAGTCACACCAAGTTGTAAGTGAAGCGTACTGCTCTAATTACATAAATATTTACATGTAAATATGGAGCGTATGTGTAATTTATTTATTTATTTATTTATTTATTTATAATTTGAGCACACTTACAGAGGTACAAAAAAAAAAAAAATACAGATAAGAGCAGCATGCCAAAGCCACTTATACTATGCATAGCATTACGGGCTGGCTTAAAATTAACTTAAGATTAACTAAGCAATGATGAAATCAGTGAAAAACATTAATGTAAACTGATTACTATAAAGCACAAGTGAGTATTACAAAGACAGGTCATATGGTTGCATGCATTGTTGTAAATTCAGTAGAATGGAGTATTCTGTTAGGTAGTGAATTTAAAAAATAATAAAGTTAGATTGGGTTTTAGGTTTAACATTTATGTGATATAATTGTGAGAAACATTTAAGATATACAATTTATAAGGTTCAGTTATTCAGTATTTATTTGGTTTTGGGTGAGTAAGTGATCTTTGAGAAGAGACTTGAATTTATAAACAGGTAGTGTTTCTTTTATATTAACAGGTAATGAATTCCAGATTTTAGGGCCTTTTATGTGCATTGAGTTTTTGCATAGCGTGAGATGGACACGAGGAATATCAAAGAGTGATCTGTGCCTTGTGTTATGGTCATGTGTTCTGTTGAGGTTGGCAAGGAGATGTTTGAGGGGAGGGTTAATATCAGAGTTGAGTGTTCTATGTATGTAATAGGTGCAGTAATAAGTATGGATGTTTTGTATGGTGAGTAGGTTGAGTGTATTGAATATTGGTGGAGTGTGCTGCCTGTAGTGAGAATTTGTTATCATTCTAACTGCAGCCTTTTGTTGGGTAATTAGTGGTCTGAGATGGTTACTTGTTGTTGAGCCCCATGCACAAATTCCATAGGTGAGATAGGGGTAAATAAGAGAGTGATATAGGGCCAGGAGGGCTGACTGTGGAGCATAGTACCGTATCTTCGATAGTATGCCTACAGTCTTGGAAATTTTCTTAGAAATTTGTTGTATATGTGTATGAAATTTGAGTCTATTATCAAGGTGGATTCCTAAGAATTTTCCCTCTGTTAGCTTTGTGATAGGTGATCCGTTTATCTTGCAAACTTACCCTCCTTCATACATCACCAAATCTCTATGATGCTGTGAATCTGTCTTTTTATGTGTCTATAATTCCCCATAATAATATAACTGTGTGGACCGAAGGAGCCTTGAAGTTTCTTCCGAGAAATGATTCCCGTCCTACTGAACCCCGACTGACCAAATTCCTGACGAGAGAAGAGAGCGCGACCTTCCTATCAAAACCAGGGTGCACGTACTGTTGTGATCACACAACTTTATGATCATACTCTGTACCTTTCTTTCACGTTAAATAACAAAAAAAAGCACAATACCGTGACTGGAACGATACACAAATAACCCGCACACAGAAGAGAGGAGCTTACAACGACGTTTCGGTCCGACTTGGACCATTTACAAAGTCACACTGACTTTTTTTCACGTTATTATACCACATTACCAGTTGTGAATCCAAATGAAGAAAATAAATACATTGTAAGTAATACTTACGTGAAGAGGTTACTTCAATTAACAACGTCTCAAGCACACAGTTCGCCCACTGTGTAGGCGAGCTGTTAAGATAAGATAAGATAAGATTTGTTGGGATTTTCAACCGGGATGGGGGGGGGGTTAGCCATTCAGGATATACCAACACAGCGCGTCATCAGGGACTGTCTCTTTAATTCCATTGGGGTCCATTAATCTTGTAACCCCATCCCCCCAGGATACGACCCAAAACAGTCGACTAACACTCGGGTGTCTACCTACTTCTAGGTGAACAGGGACAGCAGGGGTAAAGAAAAATTCCTAACGCCTCACCCGTGCCGGAGAGCCAGCGAATCCCGGTCCCTCTGAATGTGAGTTGAAGACGTCAATAAAGGTACCCAGTGCCTACAAGCGTCACTGACGCCAACACCTCTGCTGTGTGCTGGTTACAAACACAAATTCAAATTCAAAATTTTGCTTATTTTTATGCGCTAGGCCTGGTCACAGACCGAGCCGCGGGGCATTGATTCCCGTATGGTTAGACACAAAAGAAAGTTATTACTATATAATGGATACTAGACGAGAGTCATTAAGGCTCCAAGTCACTGTACACCACAGTCAGGGATATTTTATTACTAAATCAGTGATTAAAGTAATCTGTCAATGCGTATATACACATAGAGAGAAACATACTTCTTGCTATATATATGTAAATCATCGTATGAAATAAATGAAATTCCCGATGCGTAGTGCAGCAGGTGTCCTCTTGGTGATGAGTGACTCGAGACCCACCAGGCATTCTGATATACACAGTCAGATAACCCCTATTTAAGGCTGGTGAACAGTCACCCGTTTGACTGTCTTATCAACAGTGAAATGCTGATTGTTATTAAGAGGCTGGGGCTGCTGGGGCTGCTGGGGCTGCTGGGGCTGCTGGGGCTGCTGGGGCTGCTGGGGCTGCTGGGGCTGCTGGGGCTGCTGGGGCTGTTGGGGCTGCTGGGGCTGTTGGGGCTGTTGGAGCTGCTGGGGCTGCTGGGGCTGCTGGGGCTGCTGGGGCTGCTGGGGCTGTTGGAGCTGGTGGGGCTGCTGGAGCTGCTGGGGCTGCTGGGGCTGCTGGGGCTGTTGGGGCTGCTGGGGCTGCTGGGGCTGTTGGAGCTGCTGGGGCTGCTGGGGCTGCTGGGGCTGCTGGGGCTGCTGGGGCTGCTGGGGCTGTTGGCTCTTCTGTACTCTCTGGTGTCGTTACACAGACTTCAAGTTCACCATAATTAACCTCTTACGTAATGTTATTTATATTTTAATTTGTTTTACGTTTTTCATTATATAATTTTTGAATCACGTAATACACAGATAATTTGCACATAGGAGAATGAAACTTATGGCGACGTTTCGGTCCGACTTGGATAAACTCAAAGCCAAATAATCAATAAATTCAAGATTCCAATGTCTGTTCATCCCTATTTTAGCCTGTTACCAGAATCTTGTATATCATAATAATAATGATAATTAATAAAAATAATAATAATAATAATAATAATAATAATAATAATAATAATAATAATAATAATAATAATAATAATAATAATAATAATAATAATAATTATTATTATTATTATTATTATTATTATTATTATTATTATTTATTATTATTATTATTATTATTATTATTATTATTATTATTAATAGTGATTCTAGGTTTTATAATTCTCAGTCTGGCTTCGACAATTTCTCCTTGCGAGAGCTGATCCTCTCTAGAAACATAAGAACATAAGAAAGAAGGAACACTGCAACAGGCCTACTGCGCTATGCGAGGCAGCTCCAATTCTCCCACTGGCTTAAGCCACTGCCTTGACCTAGGGAGGTCAGACACATCACTTAAGGGAGGAGCACTGCATCCCACCTAGTAGCACCAGCTAGTCAGGTCCAACTCACACCCACCCACACCCACTCATGTATGTATCCAACCTATTTTTAAAACTACGCAACGTCTTAGCGTCTATGACGGTACTCGGGAGTTTGTTCCACTCATCCACAACTCTATTACCAAACCAGTGCTTTCCTGCATCCTTCCTGAATCTGATTTTTTCCAATTTAAAGCCATTGCTGCGAGTCCTGTCTATGTTAGATATTTTCAGCACGCTATTTACATCCCCTTTATTAATTCTTGTTTTCCATTTATACACCTCAATCATATCCCACCTAATTCTACGCCTTTAGAGAGAGTGCAGATTCAGGGCCCTCAGTCTATCCTCATATGGAAGATTTCTGATACATGGGATCATCCTCCTTTGTACGTTTTCCTGAGCAGCATAGTCTAAATGAGGCCTAACCAAGGATATATAGAGTTGAAGAACAACCTGAGGACTTCTATTATTTATACTTCTAGATATGAAGCCAAGAATTCTGTTAGCTTTATTGCGAACATTAATGCACTGTTGTCTTGGTTTTAGATTACTGCTAACCAGAACTCCTAAATCCTTTTCGCAATCAGTAATATTAAGATCTACATTATTTAGTTTATATATGGCATGCTTATTTTCCTTTCCAACATTTAGAACTTTGCATTTGTCTAAGTTAAACTGCATCTGCCACTTCTCCGACCACTGCACTTTTCTATATTCATTTTTTCCATGTAAATAGTTGTGTGATGTATTCTATCGAAAACTTTTTTTTCAATATAAATATATTCAGTCAGCTTGTTTCTAGCATTCACCTGGAGTATACCTGGAGAGGGTTTCAGGGGTCAACGCCCCCGCGGTCCGCACTGTTTCTGCGCCTTCTTACAGTCAAGGAACATGCAGTCTATCGGTCTCTGTTACTCTGTGTAGTATATGTGTGTGTGTGTGTGTGTGTGTGTGTGTGTGTGTGTGTGTGTGTGTGTGTGTGTGTGTGTGTGTGTGTGTGTGTGTGTGTGTGTGTGTGTGTGTGTGTGTGTGTATGTGTGTGTGTGTGTACTCACCTAATTGTACTCACCTAATTGTGGTTGCAGGGGTCGAGACTCAGCTCCTGGCCCCGCCTCTTCACTGATCGCTACAGGATCCTCTCTCTCTCTGCTTCCTGAGCTTTGTCATACCTCTTCTTAAAACTATGTATGGTTCCTGCCTCCACTACTTCACTTGCTAGGCTATTCCACTTCCTGACAACTCTATGACTGAAGAAATACTTCCTAACGTCCATGTGACTCGTCTGAGTAGTCTTGTGTGTGTGTGGTGTGTGTGTGTGTGTGTGTGTGTGTGTGTCGTTCAGCGTGAGAGCGATGGAGGCTCGATCCTTCGTTCGCTAAATCGAGAGAGAGATATGCTACCTGGCTGTTTACTTAACCTCCCTCCCTTCTTCCCCCATTCCCCCGGGATGCTTCCTTAGAGAGAGAGTAGATGATTATTGTATTCACAGAAGGAACGCTAAGCCCGTCCCACATCCTGGGTCAAGAACTCTTCACCGGCATCAGGACACTTTCCACGATGGGTTAAATATTCCACATTAAATGTTAACACTGAACTGGGGTTTCAAGGCCTGAGCTTGCTACCATCTGCAGCTCACAAGACTGCAATCCCCACGAGCCCCTTTGAGGCGGGGTAGATGGCAGACCAGAGGCCTAGCTTCTCCCTACGAGCCCCGTGAGGGCGGGGAATGTGGCTAGGCCTGGGGACACTTGGTCCCAAAGATGAGGAGGTACTGTACCTCCTCCCATGGGAGACTTAAGTCTCGAGACACTCCCCAGATAGGGAGCCAAGGCCGGGTCACCACTACTTGGAAAAGACCCGGGCGGGGAGAATACTGGCGAATAAAAAAAAAAAAAAAAAAAAACACTGAACTCCGCAAAGCTGTTACTGCGCGTTAATCTGCCTGACACCGCATGTGCAGGTTACTGGGACGAAAGGAGGTTAATATATCGTGAGTGTGGTTGACAGGTGTGGCTCGCCTGGCAGGTGCGAGAGTGCACGTCTTCTCTCGTAGATCCAAGGCTATTATTGGCATTTGTCGTAGAAATGACTGAGTGGTTTCCCTGCTCTATGTAAACTGGGAGAATCGCCCGCTCCTCTCATTTTAATAAATAAATAAATGACATAACAATAACAGTAAATAAGGGTAGGAATCTTTATTATGAAGACGTTTCTCCAACCAGTGACGTTTTCAATTCGGTACAGATGTTATATATTGGCGAAATGTCTTCATGATAGACATATCCAGGTATTGTATATGTGTCTTATCCATCAACTTGTTCGAATTTGTTACCATTGACTTAATAGTAAAAAATAGTGAAAGAGAAAAACATATATACATACTTTCCAAGTTCAAAAAGATTATATATCAGAATGGTACAATACACAAATAACCCGCACATAGGAGAGAGCTTACCACGACGCTGGACCATTTACAAGTTTCTGTCTCTCCTACCTGTGGGTTATTTGTGTAACGAAGTGGTATCACTGCTGAAGAAACTCTTGTGAGTTTTAAACTCAGAGTACGTAGAGCGAGCGATGGACAGTGAGACCGCTTCCTGTGCACCTCGAGAGAGTTGCATTTCTTGTTGGTACTGCAGGCGCATCCATAAGTTTCCTGACCTTGCGGAAGATGGATATATTATAGCCAGCTTGTTCCACAGGTGTAGCTGCTGCCCTCTTGCAGGTGTGAAAGAGCGTACATCATATATCACAGATCATCCATCACTGCAAGTATTTTCTTCGTCAGGAGAAATGGGGAAAATTTCGCCTGACGGGTGAGGATCTTCCTCAGTAGGTCACCATAAAATCACCTATTTAGTGGAGCCTTTGGTCATTTCTCCCTTGTTCGCCACCAGCTTATCAGCGCGCCTCTTAAAATATAAGTATCATATAGCAATCGTTGCGGTATTTAGCTGATAAGTGCCTCGTTTACAGGCGAGATCCATCAGTGTTAATGGGCACCTCATTTAATGATATGAGACGACTGAATGGTAGAATATATGAGGCTAATTATTAACAACATGTCAAGGTCATTCAAACCACGGGACGTCGAACCCACCTTCATGATAACCACTAACATCAGTGATAACCATTAACTTTTTTGATAACTACTAACATTTGTGATAACCATTAATATCTATGATAACCACTAACGTGTATAATAGCCACTAACAATTATGATAATCACTAACGACTATGATAACCACTAACAACTATGATAACCACTAACAACTGTGATAACCACTAACAACTGTGATAACCACTAACAACTATGATAACCGCTAACAACTGTGATAACCACTAACAACTATGATAAATGCTAACAATTATAACACTCTAGCTCTTCCAGCTAGTCAAGTTAAGCTCTGTCAGGTCTGGCTAGTAACTCAGTGGAAGATTCTGTGAACGAAACTTCGCACTGAGAATAGGAATCTTAGCTTGGTAATACAAATGAGTTGGAATGCATTATGAGTGGCATTTTTATGCTTCTAACTCATTTCTCTTTCCCCAGCATGTCTATATACCTCATTTACACTCTCTTAAGGTGAATCTAAAAGACTGAGTGGCAACAGTATTGAAGAAACGATTTGATGACGCTCTAATAGAGCGAGACGTTGCCTCAGTAAAAGCTTGATTTACAGTGTGTGTCTTCAACTATCTTTCTCCAGCAATGTATCTAATTCCCCTTTCTCTCCCTCCCCCTCCCCAGGATGTCTACGATGATAACGCGGTGTTCTACAGAAAAGGTGAGGGCAGTCAGCTACTTCGATGCGTCGCTCGACTTCGATTTTCAGTGTCGCCGAATATCACAGGATCTCTTGTGGGTTTGAGATGCAACGAGACTTCCCGAAAAGTCTGGGAAAAGGACGTGCCCAACCAGATCGTCTCATCTGAGAAACCATTATTGTTCGCCTGCAAAGAAATTTATTCAGCGCCTTGGTGGCCACCGAGCTGGGACAGATTAGTTTCAGGTTGCCGAAAGCTGGACCCGTCTTCATCTTCGTTGTCGTCGGCGAATAGTTCCACCTCTTATAACAGAACTGGTTCCGAGAACTGTTACTGTCTGAAACCTTCGGGTAACAACTGTTACTGCCTCGTGCGTCACCGGTTACACGTTAATGAGATCATGAACTGTTTGTGTGAAGACTTTAGTTTCCCAGGCAGAAGCATCTCAAGCAGCGATAGTAGCTATTTCTCTGGCAGTGATTGCATCTGCGAGCCAAGTAGTAGCAGCAGTTCAAGTAGCAGTATCTCAAGTGACAGCAGTTACTCCCCAAGCACTGACTGCATCTGTGAGCCAAGAAGCACTAGTAGTAGCAGCAGCAGCAGCAGCAGCTCGAGTAGCAGTATCTCAAGTGATAGCAATTACTCCCCAAGTATTGATTGCATCTGTGAACCAAGAAGCAATAGTAGCAGTAGTAGCAGCAGCAGCAGCTCGAGTAGCAGTATCTCAAGTGATAGCAATTACTCCCCAAGTATTGATTGCATCTGTGAACCAAGAAGCAATAGTAGTAGTAGTAGCAGCAGCAGCAGCTCGAGTAGCAGTATCTCAAGTGGCAGCAGTTGCTCCTCAAGCATTGACTGTATCTGTGAACCGAGAAGTATTTCGTCTTTATCAAGTTTAAGTCGTTCCTCTTCAAGTTCCAGTAGCCACTCATCAGTTTTTATTAAATCTTCCTCATCAAGTTCAAGACATTTGCCAAATTGTGGCGGCTCTTCTCCAGGATCCAGCAGTTTCTCTTCAAGCTCTAGCTCTTCAACAAATTCCTGCAGCTCATCCCCCTCATTATCTAGCAGTCAATCTTCATTAAATTCCAAGAGTGCATTATTAATTTCTTCTTGGTCTGTCCCATTCAGCTCTGATACATCTGTCTCATCAAGTGCTATAAGTTATTTCTCACCAAGTTTTAGTAGTACTTTATTACTATATTCTAATATTTCTTCTGCCTCATTAAGTTCCAGAACCCCTTCCTCATCAAGATCTAGTAATTCTCACGTGTCAATTTCCAACAGTTCTTCCAGTTTCTCCTCATCAAGTTTGAACTTTTCTTCCCTATCACATTCCAGCAGTTCTCACTCAGTTCACTGTAGTTCATCCTCACTAATATTCAGCAGTTTTGGTTCAACAGGTTCAAACAGTTCATCTGTACCAATATTCAGTAGTTCTCTCTCATCCAGTTGTAGTAGTTCTTTCTCATCAAATTACAGTACTTCAGTTTTACCAAGAACCAGTAGTTCTTCACCAACAGCATCCAGAAGTTCTTCCAGCTCTTCCTTATCGTATTCAAGTAGCATTTCGTCAGAAAAATTAAGCAGTTCTCCCTCATCAAGTTCGAACAGTTCTTTCTCATTAGCTTCCAGTAGTTCTTCCTCAATAAGTTTCAGTCGCTCTTCCTCATCAAGTTCTTGCATTTCCTCCCTACTGAGTTCCAGTAGTTCTCTGTTAATTTCAAAAAGTTTTTTCTCGTCAACTTCTGGAATTTCTTTCCCAGCAAGTTCCGGTAGTTTTTCCTTAACAAGTTCGAGAAGTCCTTCATCTTCCCGCGGTTCTTCTGCAGGTTCCAAGATGCCTTCCATTTTAAGTTCCATAATTTCGTCTTCATCAAGTTCTTTGAGGTTTGCCACAGTAAGTTCCAGTAGTTTTTCCTTATCAAGTTCCAGGAGTTCTTCATCGGAAAGTTTCAACGTTTCGTCTTTATCAAGTTCCAATTTTTCATCATTATTAAGTTCAACTAGGTCTTCCTTATCAGTTTCCAATTCTTTAATAAGAAATTCAAGTAGCTCTTCCTTTTCAAGTTCCAAAATAGGTTCTAGTAGTTCTTTATTATGTTCTATGAGTTGGTCATTATCAAGTTTCAGAAAATCTTCATTAAAAAGTTCCAGCAGTTCTTCTTCAGCGAGTTCTAGTAATTCTCCTTTCACAAATTCCAGCAGTTCTCACACACTGGTTTCCTGCAGTTCTTTCTCATCAAGCTTGAATAGTTCTTCCTCATCAAGCTTGGGCAGTTCTTACTCATCAGGCTTGAACAATTCTTACTCATCAAGCTTGAGCAGTTCTTACTCATCAGACTTGAGTAGTTCTTACTCATCAGGCGTGAGCAGTTCTTACTCATCAGGCGTGAGCAGTTCTTACTCATCAGGCTTGTGCAGTTCTTACTTATCAGGCTTGTGTAGTTCTTACTCATCAGGCTTGTGCAGTTCTTACTCATCAGGCGTGAGCAGTTCTTACTCATCAGGCTTGAGCAGTTCTTACTCATCAGGCGTGAGGAGTTCTTACTCATCAGGCTTGTGCAGTTCTTCCTCATCAATCTTGAGCTGTTCTTCCTCATCAAGACTGAACAGTTCTTTCTCACCAATTTCCACCAGTTCTTCCTTAACGAGTTCAAGAAAATCTTCCTCAACGAATTCTAGCAGTTCTTCTTTATCAAGGTCCGGTAGTTCTTCCTTAGCTCAGTAGTTCTCCCTCACTGGAATCCAGCAGACATTCCAGGTTAAAGTACAGAAGTTCTTACTCATCAAATTTCAGTAGTTATACCATATTAAGCATTAGTTGTTCCCTCATGTCATGTTCTGGTTGTTCTTCCGGAATAGAATCTAGTAGTTTTCCTCCTTCAAGTTCCAGTATTACTTTCATGTCAAGTTCCAGTAGTTTAAGTAGTTCTTCTTTCATTAGTACTAATGGTTCTTATTCAAGTTTCAGAACATCTTCCTCATTTATTTCAAGAAGTTCTAATTTAACGGGTTTCAGTCTGTCTTTCTTTGTAAGTTCCAGTAGTTCCACATCATTAAGTTCCAATAGTTCCACATCAATAAGTTCCAGTAGTTCCACATCAGTGAGTTCCAGTAGTTCAACTGCATTAAGTTCCAGTAGTTCCACTGTGGAAAGTTCCAGGAGATCCACATCAGTAAGTTTCAGTAGTTCAACTGCAGTAAGTTCCAGTAGTTCCACTGCAGTAAGTTCCAGCAAATTCCACATCCAGTAAGTTCAGTAGTTTTCACAGCAGTAAGTTCCAGTAGTTCCACTGCAGTAAGTTCCAGTAGTTCTGCTGTAGTAAATTCTTGTAGTTCCACGTCAGTAAGTTTCAGTAGTTCAACTGCAGTAAGTTCCAGTAGTTCCACATCAGTAAGTTCCAGTAGTTCCACTGTCTTAGTCATAGTTCAGTCGTTCCCTGCAGTAAGCTTCTCAGTAGTTCCACATCAGTAAGTTACAGTAGTTCCATATCAGTAAGTTCCAGTAGTTCTACATCAGTAAGTTCCAGCAGTTCTACATCAGTAAGTTACAGTAGTTCCACTGCAGTAAATTCCAGTAGTTCCACATCAGTAAGTTTCAGTAGTTCATCTGCAGTTAGTTCCAGTAATTCAAATGCAGTAAGTTTCAGTAGTTCCACATCAGTAAGTTCCAGTAGTTCCACATCAGTAAGTTCTATTAGTTCTCCTGCAGTAAGTTTCAGTAGTTCCACATCAACAAGTTTCAGTAGTTCAACTGCAGTAAGTTCCAGTAGTTCCACATTAATAAGTTCCAGTAGTTCCATATCAGTAAGTTCCAGTAGTTCCACATCAGTAAGTTCCAGTAGTTCCACTGCAGTAAGTTCCAGTAGTTCCACATCAGTGAGTTCCAGTAGTTCAACTGCATTAAGTTCCAGTAGTTTCACTGTGGAAAGTTCCAGGAGTTCCACATCAGTAAGTTCCAGTAGTTCTGCTGCAGTAAGTTCCAGCAGTTCCACATCAGTAAGTTCCAGTAGCTTCACAGCAGTAAGTTCCAGCAGTTCCACATCAGTAAGTTCCAGTAGTTCTGCTGCAGTAAGTTCCAGCAGTTCCACATCAGTAAGTTCCAGTAGTTCACAGCAGTAAGTTCCAGTAGTTCCACTGCAGTAAGTTCCAGTAGTTCCACTGCAGTAAGTTCCAGTAGTTCTGCTGCAGCAAATTCTTGTAGTTCCACGTCAGTAAGTTTCAGTAGTTCATCTGCAGTAAGTTCCAGTAGTTCAACTGCAGTAAGCTCCAGTAGTTCCACATCAGTAAGTTCCAGTAGTTCAACTGCAGTAAGCTCCAGTAGCTCCACTGCAGTAAGTTCCAGTAGTTCTACATCAGTAAGTTCCAGTAGATCCATATCAGTAAGTTCCAGTAGTTCCACTGCAGTAAGTTCCAGTAGTTCCACTGCAGTAAGTTCCAGTAGTTCCACTGCAGTAAGTTCCAGTAGTTCCACTGCAGTAAGTATATGAGTTCACATCAGTAGTTCCTGCATGTCCAGCATAATTCTATGTAGTTCACAGTCAGTAAGTTTCAGTAGTTCATCTGCAGTAAGTTCCAGTAGTTCAACTGCAGTAAGTTCCAGTAGTTCCACATCAGTAAATTTCAGTAGTTCCACATCAGTAAGTTCCAGTAGTTCAACTGCAGTAAGCTCCAGTAGCTCCACTGCATTAAGTTCCAGTAGTTCTACATCAGTAAGTTCCAGTAGATCCATATCAGTAAGTTCCAGTAGTTCCACTGCAGTAAGTTCCAGTAGTTCCACATCAGTAAGTTCCAGTAGTTCCATATCAATAAGTTCTATTAGTTCCACTGCAGTAAGTTCCAGTAGTTCCACATCAATGAGTTTCAGTAGTTCCACTGCAGTAAGTTCCAGTAGTTCCACTGCAGTAAGTTCCAGTAATTCCACTCAGTAAGTTCCAGTAGTTCCATATCAATAAGTTCTATTAGTTCCTCTGCAGTAAGTTCCAGTAGTTCCATATCAGTAAGTTCCAGTAGTTCCACATCAGTAAGTTCCAGTAGTTCCACTGCAGTAAATTCCAGCAGTTCCACATCAGTGAGTTCCAGTAGTTCCACTGTGGAAAGTTTCAGTAGTTCTATATCAGTAAGTTTCAGTAGTTCAACTGCAGTAAGTTCCAGTAGTTCCACATCAGTAAGTTCCAGTAGTTCCACATCAGTATGTTCCAGTCATTCCACTGCAGTAAGTTTCAGTAGTTCCACATCAGTAAGTTCCAGTAGTTCTACTGCAGTAAGTTCCAGTAGTTCCACATCAGTAAGTTCCAGTAGTTCCACATCAGTAAGTTCCAGTAGTTCTACACCAGTAAGTTACAGCAGTTCCATATCAGTAAGTTCCAGTAGTTCCACTGCAGTAAGTTCCAGTAGTTCTACACCAGTAAGTTCCAGTAGTTCCACTGCAGTAAATTCCAGTAGTTCCACATCAGTAAGTTTCAGTAGTTCATCTGCAGTTAGTTCCAGTAGTTCAACTGCAGTAAGTTCCAGTAGTTCCACATCAGTAAGTTCCAGTAGTTCCACATCAGTAAGTTTCAGTAGTTCCACGTCAGTAAGTTCCAGTAGTTCAGCTGCAGTAAGTTCCAGTAGTTCCACTTCATTAAGTTCCAGTAGATCCGTATCAGTAAGTTCCAGTAGTTCCACATCAGTAAGTTCTATTAGTTCCACTGCAGTAAGTTTCAGTAGTTCCACATCAACAAGTTTCAGTAGTTCAACTGCAGTAAGTTCCAGTAGTTCCACATTAATAAGTTCCAGTAGTTCCATATCAGTAAGTTCCCGTAGTTCCACATCAGTAAGTTCCAGTAGTTCTGCTGCAGTAAGTTCCAGCAGTTCCACATCAGTAAGTTCCAGTAGTTCTGCTGCAGTAAGTTCCAGCAGTTCCACATCAGTAAGTTCCAGTAGCTTCACAGCAGTAAGTTCCAGTATTTCCACTGCAGTAAGTTCCAGTAGTTCCACTGCAGTAAGTTCCAGTAGTTCCACTGCAGTAAGTTTCATCATATGTTCCAGTAGTTCTGCTGCAGCAAATTCTTGTAGTTACACGTCAGTAAGTTTCAGTAGTTCATCTGCAGTAAGTTCCAGTAGTTCAACTGCAGTAAGTTCCAGTAGTTCCACATCAGTAAATTTCAGTAGTTCCACATCAGTAAGTTCCAGTAGTTCCACTGCATTAAGTTCCAGTAGTTCTACCATAGTCAAGTTCCACTGCATTAAGTTCCAGTAGTTCACATCAGTAAGTTCCGACAGTAGTTATTCACATGTCAGTAAGTTCCAGTAGTTCCACTGCAGTAAGTTTCAGTAGTTCACCATAATCAGTTCAATTATCCAGTAGTTCCATATCAGTAAGTTCCAGTAGTTCCACTGCAGTAAGTTCCAGTAATTCCATATCAGTGAGTTCCAGTAGTTCCACTGCAGTAAGTTCCAGTAGTTCCACATCAATAAGTTCTATTAGTTCCACTGCAGTAAGTTCCAGCAGTTCCACATCAGTGAGTTCCAGTAGTTCCACTGCAGTAAGTTCCAGTAGTTCCACTGTGGAAAGTTTCAGTGGTTCTACATCAGTAAGTTCCAGTAGTTCAACTGCAGTAAGTTACAGTAGTTTCATATCAGTAAGTTCCAGCAGTTCTACATCAGTAAGTTCTAGTAGTTCTACATCAGTAAGTTCCAGTAGTTCAACTGCAGTAAGTTCCAGTAGTTCCACATCAGTAAGTTCCAGTAGTTCCACATCAGTAGTTCCAGTCAGTATTCCATCATTCAGTAAGTTCCAGTAGTTCCACTGCAGTAAGTTTCAGTAGTTCCACATCAGTAAGTTCCAGTAGTTCAACTGCAGTAAGTTTCAGTAGTTCCACATCAGTAAGTTCCAGTAGTTCCACTGCAGTAAGTTTTAGTAGTTCCACTGTGGAAAGTTTCAGTAGTTCTACATCAGTAAGTTCCAGTAGTACCACTGCAGTAAATTTGTTCTCAGGTTCTAGTAGTCTCTCCTTATCAATATCCAGTAGTTTTTCCTTCACAAGTTCAAGTAGTTCTTTCTTGTTGATATACAGTAGTTCTTTTATCACAAGGTATAGTAGTTCTTCTTTATTAATATCCAGTAGTTCTTTATCAAGTTCTAGCAATTCTTCCTTATTAGTATCCAGTAGTTCTTTCTTTACAAGTTCCAGTACTTCTAGTAGTTCTTCCTTATTAATATCCAGCAGTTCTTCTTTCTCAAGGTCTAGTAGTTCCTTCGGAAGTTTGAGTATTTCTTTCACAAGTTCTTGTAGTCCTGTCTTATTAAGACTGAGTAATTCTTCCTTCACAAATTATAGTAGTTCTTCCTTATTAAGTTCTAGTAGCTCTTTCTTCACAAGTTCTAATTGCTCCTCGGTCATAGGTTCTAGTAGTTCATCCTTAATAATATCAGGTAGGTCTTCCTTTGCAAGTTCTAGAAGTTCTTCTTTATTAATATCCAGTAGTTCTTCCGCCACAAGTTCTAGTAGTTCTTCCTTAGCAAGTTCTAGTAGTTCTTCCTTAGCAAGTTCTAGTAGTTCTTCTCTATTAATGTCCAGTTCTTCCTTCACAAGTCCTAGTAATTCTTCCTTATTAATATCCGGTAGTTCTTCTTTCATAAGTTGTGGTAGTTCTTACTTTTTAATATCTAATAGTTCTTCCTTCACAAGTTCTAGTAGTTTCTCGTTCACAAGTTCTAGCAATTCTTCCTTATTAAGATCCAATAGTTCTTCCTTCACAAGTTCCCTTAGTTCTTCCTTCACAAGTTCCAGAACTTCTTACTTCACAAGTTCTAGTTCTTCCTTATTGATTGCCAATAGTTCTTCCTTCATAAGTTCTTGTAGTTCTTCCTTCACAAGTTCTTGTAGTTCTTCCTTCACAAGTTCTTTTATGTCTTCTTTCACAAGTACTAGTAGTTCGTCCTTAATATCTGTCAGTTCTTCCTTCACAAGCTCTAGTTGTTTTTCGCTATTAATGTCCAGAAGTTCTTCCATGACAAGTTCTAGTAGTTCTTCCTTCACAAGTTCTAGTAGTTCTCCCTTCATAAGTTCTAATAGTTCTCTCTTATTAATATCCAGTAGTTCTTCGTTATCAAGGAACAGCAATTCTTTAACAAGTTTCAACAGTTCCTCTGAATTAAGTTCAAATTATTCTTCCTTATCAACATTAAGTAGTTCTTCAGGTTCTAGTTGGTCTTCTTTGTCAAATTTCAGTAGTTCTTCATTATCAAATTCCGGGAGATCTTCCTCAACAATATTCAGCAGTTATTCCTTATCAAGAAAGAGTTTCTTCTCATCAAGTTCTATTATCTCTTCCTTAAAAAGTTTCGGAACTTCATACTCATCAAAAACTATTATGTTTATGTCTTCCTTATCAAGTTTGCATAGCTCTTTCTTATCAAGTTCAAGTTTAACAAGCTCCAGAAATTCTTCCTCCTTAGGTCTCAACAGTTCTTCAGTAAGTTCCACTCTCTCTTCCTTATCAAGTTTCATTTGTTCTTCCTCATTAAGTTACAGTAGTTTTTTCTTATCAAGAGCTAAAAGTTCTAACTGTTTAAGTTCGATAAGCTCATTATTATCCAGTTCAGGTAAATCATCTTTAACATCCAGTAGTTCTTTCCTATCAAAGTTCAGTTCTTCCTCATCAAGATCCAGTAGTAGTTTCTCATCAAGTTTCAGTAGTTCTTCAAGTTCTAGTAGTTCTTCAAGTTTCATTAATTTCTCAAGTTCTGTTTTTTCAAGTTTCAATACTTCAAGTACTAGCAGCTACTTGTTAAGTTCCAGAAGTTCTTTCTCCTCAAGATATATTAGTTTATCAACTTCAAAACTGAGTTGTTCTTTCTCAGTAAGTGTTATTTGTTCTTCCTCATTAAGTTCTAGTAGTTCTCCTATATTGAGTTCTAACAGATCTTCCTTATCAAAATCCAAAATTGCTTCCACATCACCTTCTAAAATTTCATTCTCACCAAGTTCCAGTCTTTCTTCCTCATGTTCTATAATTTCCTTCTCATCAGGTGCCAGCGTTTCTTCCTCATCAGTGTCTAACATTTCTTTCTCACCAAGTTGCAGTGTAAATTACTTATCAGGTTCTAACATATCTTTCTCATCGAGTTGCAGTGTTTCTTCCTCATCAAGTCTGAGCGTTACTACCCAAGCACCTTCTATTTGTTCTTCTTTATCAAGAACCAGTAATTCTTACTCATCACTAACCAGTACTTCTTCCCCATCAGTAACCAGAAGTTCTTCCTCATCAGTAACCATTAGTTCTTATTCATCACTAACAAGTTGTTCTTCCTCCTCACTAACCAGGAGTTCTTCACCATCACTTAGGAGCAGTTCGCCCTCACGAGTAACCAATAGTTCTTCCCAAACGCTAACCAGTAGTTCTTACACGTCACTAACCAGTAACTCGACCGCATTACTAACCGGAAGTAGTTTCTCATCACTTACCAGTAGTTCTTCACCATCACTAACCAGTAGTTCTAACTCATCAGTAACCAGCAGTAAGTCCTCATCAGTAAACGGTAGTTCTTTCTCATCACTAACCAGTAGTTCTTCCACATCACTAAACAATAGTTCTTCCTTATCAATAATAAGTAGTTCCTCCCAATCACTAAAGAGTAGTTCTTTCCAATCACTAACCAGTAGTTCTTCAATATCCAGCAGTTCTTCCCCAATACTAAAAAATAGTTCTTCCTTATCATTAGCCAGTAGTTATTCCTCATCACTAACCAGTAGTTCTTCCTCATCAGTAACCAGCATTTCTTCTTCATCACTAAACAGTAGTTCTTACTCATCAGTAACCAGTAGTTATTCTTCATCACTAACCAGTAGATCTTCCTCACCATTAACCAGTAGTTATTCCTCATCACTAACCAGTAGTTCTTTCTCATCATTAACCAGTAGTTCTTCCTCATCACTAACCAGCAATTCTTCCTCATCAATGATCAGAGGTTCTTCCTCATCAGTAACCACTATTTCTTCCTCGTCACTAACCAGTAGTTCTTCCTCATCATTTACCAGTAGTTCTTCCTCATCACTAACCAGTAGATCTTTCCCACCACTAGCCAGTAGTTCTTCCCGATCACTAAGCAGCAGTTCTTCCTCATCACTAACCAGTAGTTTTTCAAGATCACCAGCAAGTAGTTCTTCCCATTCACTATCCAGTAGTTCTTCCTCATCACCAATCAGTAGTTTTTCCCCATCACTAGAAAATAGTTCTTCCCATTCACTAACCTGTAGCTCTTCCCCATCACTAACCAATAGACCTTTCTATTCAGTAACAAGTAGTTCTTCCCATTCATTAACCAGTAGTTCTTCCCTATTAATAACCAGTAGTTCCTCCCCATCAGAAACCAGTAGATCTTCCCCATCACTAACCAGTAATTCTTCCCCATCACTAAGAAGTTCTTCACCATCGCTGACCAGTAGCTCTTCCTCATTAGTATCCAGTAGTTCTTCCTCATCACTAACCAGTAGTTTTTACCCATCACCAGTAAGTAGTTCTTCCCATTCACTAATCAGCAGTTCTACCCCATCACTAACCAGTTCTTCGAGTTCAGTAAAGAGTAGTTCTTCCTCACCCCTACCCAGTAGTTCTTTCCTATCACTAATCAGTATTTCTTCCTCATCATTAACCAGTAGTTACTCCCCGTCACTAACCAGTAGCATTTCATATCACTAGCAAGTAGTTCTTCCCATTCACTATCCCGTAGTTCTTCCCCATCACTAACCAGAAGTTCTTCCCCATCACTAACCGGTATTTCTTCCCCATTACTAACCAATAGTTCTTCCCATTCACTAACTAGTAATTCTTCCCCATTACTAACCAATAGTTCTTCCTATTCACTAACCCGTATTTCTTCCCCATCACTAACCAGAAGTTCTTCCTCATTACTAACCAGTAGTTCTTCCCCACTACTAACCAGTAGTTCATCCCGATCACTAACCAGTAGTTCTTCCCCATTACTAACTAGTAGTTCTTCCTCATCACTGACCAGTAGATCTTCCCCATCACTAACCAGTAGTCCTTCCCCATCATTAACAAGTAGTTCCTCACCATCACTAAACAGTATTTCTTCCCCATCACTAGCCAGTAGTTCTTCCCAATCACTAATCAGTAGCTCTAACTCATCAGAAACCATTAGTACTTCCTCATCAGTAACCAGTAGCTCTTCCCCATCACTAAGCAATAGTTATTTCTCATCAATAACCAGTAGTTCCTCCATATCATTAAACAATAGTTCTTCCTCATCAAAAACCATTAGTTCTTCCCAATCACTAAAGAGTAGTTCTTCCCAATCACTAACCAGTAGTTCTTCCTCCTCACGAACCAGTAATTCTTCCTCCTCACGATCCAGTAGTTCTTCCTCGTCAGCAACCTGTAGCTCTTACTCATCACTAACCAGCAGTTCTTCCTCATTATTAACTAGTAGTTATTTCTCATCACTAACCCGTAGGTCTTTCTCATCATTAAAAAGTAGTTCTTCCTCACTACTAACCAGAAGTTCTATCAAATCGCTAACCAGCAGTTCCTCGTCATTTCTGACCAGTAGTTCTTCCCATTCACTAACCAATAGTTCTTCCCCGTCACTAGTACGTAGTTCTTCCTCATCAGTAAGCAGTAGTTCTTCTTCATTACTAACCAGTAGTTCTTCCTCATCAGAAACCAGTAGTTCTAATTCATCAGTAACTAGTAGTTTTTCATCACAAACCAGTGGCTCTTCATCACCACTAAGCAGCAGTTCTTACTCATCACTCACTAGTAGTTCTTTCTCATCAGTAGCCAGTAGTTCTTCGCCATCACGAACCAGTAGTTCTCCCCATTTATTAACCAGTAGATCTTCCCCATCACTAAAAAGTAGTTCTTCCAATTCAGTAACCAGAAGTTCATACTCATCACTAACCAGTAGCTCTTCCTCATCAGCAACCAGTAGTTGTTTGCCATCACGATTCAGTAGCTCTTCCTCTTCACTAACCAATAGTTCTACCCCTTCACCTGCAAGTAGTTCTTCCACATCACTAACCAGTATATCTTCCCATTCAGTAACCAGTAGTTCTTCCCCATCCTTAACCAGTAGTTCTTCCCTGTCACTATTCAGTAGTTCTTCCTCATCAATAACCAGTAGTTACTCCCCATCACTAACCAGTAGTTTTTCCCAGTCAATAGCAAATAGTTCTCCCCATTCACTAAACAGTAGTTCTTCCTCATCACTGACCAGTAGTTCTTCGTCATCAAAAACGAGTAGTTCTTCTCCTTTACTAACCAGTAGTTCCTCCCTGTCACTAACCAGATGTTCTTACCTATTACTAACCAGTAGTTCATCCTTATCAGTAACCAATAGTTCTTCTTCATTAGTAATCAGTAGTTCTTCCTCATCCCTAACCAGTAGTTCTTTCCTGTCACTATCCAGTAGTTCTTCCTCATCACTAACCAGCAGTTACTCCCCATCACTAACCAGCACCTTTTCCCCATCACTAAACAGTAGTTCTTCCCCATCACTAACCAGTAGTTTTTCCCAATCACTAACCAATATTTCTTCCCATTCGCTATGCAGTAGTTCTTCTCCATCACTATCCAGTAGTTCTTTCCCATCACTAACCAGTAGTTCTTCCTCATCGCTGACCAGTAGTTCATCGTCATCACTATCTAGTACTTCTTTTTCATCACTAACCAGTAGTTTCTCCCCATCACATACCAGTAATTCTTCCTCATCAATATACATTAGTTCTTCCCCAAAACTAACCATTAGTTCTTCCTCCACACTAACCAGTAGTTCTTCCTCATTACTAAGCAGTAGTTCTTCCACATCACTAACCAGAAATTCTTCCTCATCAGTAACCAGCAGTTCTTCCCCATCACTAACCAGTAATTCTTCCCCATCACTGACCAGAAGTACTCCATCATCACTAACCAGTAGTTCTTCCTCAATTCTAAAAAGCAGTTATACCTCATCATTAACCAGTATTTCTTTACCATCACTAACCCGTAGTTCTTCCTCATTACCAAGCAGTAGTTCTTCCCCATCTCTAACCAGTAGTTCTTCCTCATCACTAAACAGCAGTCCTTCCCCTTCGTTAACCAGTAATTCTTCCCAATCAATAATCAGTAGTTCTTCCTCATCCCTGACCAGGAGTTCTTCCATATCAAAAATGAGTAGATTTTTATCATCGCTAACCAGTAGTTCTCTCCAATCACTAACCACAAGTTCTCCCCCAACAGTAGCCAGAAGTTCTTCCTCATCACTAAGCAGTAGTTCTTCCCCATCTCTAACCAGTAGTTCATTCCCATCACTAACGAGCAGTTCTTCCTCATCTCCGAGAAATAGTTATTCCCAATCAATAACCAGTAGTTCTAACCCATCACTCACCAGAGGTTCTTCCTCATCACTACCCAGTAGCTCTCCTCAGCCACTAAAAAGTAGCTCTTCTGCACCACTAACCAGTAGTTCATCTTCATCTGCAACCAATAGTTTTTCCTCATCAGAAACCAATAGTTCCAACTTATCACTAACTAGTAGTTCTTCCCCATCACTTAACAGCAGTTCGTCCTCATCAGTTACCAGTAGTTCTTCCCAAACAGCAACCAGTAGTTCATACACATCCCTAACCAGCACTTCTTCCTCATTACTAGCCAGGAGTTATTTCTCATCACTAGCCAGTAGTTTTTCTCCATCTCTAACTAGTAGTTTTTCCTCATCAGTAAACAGCAGTTCGTCCTCATCAGTGACAAGCAGTTCTTCCTCACCAGTAACCGGTAATTCTTCCTCATCACTAACCGGTAGTTCTTCCTCATCAGTAACGAACTTCTCGTCTTCATTAGTAACCAGCAATTCTTCCTCATCACTAGCCAGTAGTTATTCCCCATTATTAACCAGTAGTTCTTCCTCATCATTAACCAGTACTTCTTCACCATAACCAGTAGTTCTTCCTCATCAGTAACCAGCAGCTCTTCACCAATAGTAACCAGTAGTTCTTACTCATCACTAACCAGTAGTTCTTCACCATCTCTAACAAGCAGTTCTTCCTCATCAGTAACCAGCAACTCTTCCTCATCAGGAACCATGAGTTCTTCCTTATCAGAAACCAGAAGTTCTTCCTCATCACTAACCAGAAATTCCCCATCGTCACTAACCAGTAGTTCTTACTCATCACTTACAAGTTAGTTCTTCCCAATATCTAACCAGTAGTTCTTCCCATCTCTAACAAGTAGTTCATTCTCATCATTAACCAGTAGTTCCTGCTCATCTGTAAAAATCATATCTTCCTCGTCAGTGACAAGCAGTTCTTCCTCATCAGTAACTAGTATTTCTTCCTCATCAGAATGCAGCATTTCCACCCAATCACAATCCAGAAGTTCCTCCAAGTCTCTAAAGAGCAGTTCTTCCCTATCAGTATCCAGTATTTCTTCATCACTAACTAGTAGTTCTTCCTCATCAGTAACCAGCAATTCTTCCTCAACAGTAACCAGCTGTTCTTCCTTATTAGAAACCAGAAGTTCTTCCTTATCAGAAACCAGCAGTTCTTCGTCAGCAGTAACCAGTAATTCTTCTTCATCACTCACCAGTAGTTCTTCCCATCTCTAACTAGTAGTTCTCCCTCATCAGTAACCAGCAATTCATCAACATCAGTAACCAGCAGTTCCTCGTTAACAGAAACCAGGAGTTCTTCCTCATCATTAAACAATAACTCTTCCCCATCTCTAACCAGTAGTTCATCTTCATCATTAACCAGCAGCTCTTCCTCATCATTAACGAGTAGTTGCCCTCACCAGTAACCAGCCGTTCTTTCTCATCATTACTCAGTAGTTCCCCTCATCATTAACCAGTAGTTCTTCCTCATCAGTAACCAGGAGTTCTTCGACATCACAAGCCAGTAGTACTTCCAAATTACTAACGAGTAGTTCTTCCCCATCACTAACCAATGCATCTTCTTCATCACTAAGCAGTAGTTCTTCCTCATCAATAAGCAGTAGTTCTTCTACATCTGCAACTAGTAGTTCGTTGCCATCAGAGAAAAGTAGTTCTAACCCATCAAAAACCAGCCTTTCCTCCTCATCAGAAACTATTAGTTCTCCCACATCAGTAAGCAGTAGTTCTTACTTATCACTAACAAGCAGTTCTTACTCCTCTCTAATTAGATCTTACTCATCATTAAACAGTAGTTCTTCCCCATCACTAACGAGTAGTTATTCCTCATTATTAACCAGTAGTTCTTCCTCATCACTAACAAGTAGTTCTTCACCACTAACCAGTAGTTCTTCCTCATCAGTAACCAGTTGTTCTTCCTCAATACCTAGCAGCAGTTCTTCCTCAGTACCTAGCAGTAGTTCTTACTCATCACTAACCAGTAGTTCTTCCCCATCTCTAACAATCAGTTCGTCCTCATCAGTAACCAGCAATTCTTCCTCATCAATAAGCAGCAGTTCTTCCTTATTAGAAACCAGCAGTTCTTCCTCATCATTAAACAATAACTCTTCCTCATCACTAATCAGTAGTTCTTCCTCATCAGTAACCAGCAGTTCTTCCTCATCAGTAACCAGAAATTCATCCTCATCACTAACCAGTATTTCTTACTCATCACTAACCAACAGTTCTTCCACATATCTATCTAGTAGTTCTTCCCCAACTCTAACCAGTAGTTCATCCTCATCATTAATCAGTAGTTCCTCCTCATCGGTAACCTGTAGTTCTTCGTCGTCAGTAACGAGCACATCTTCCTCATCAGTAATAAGAAGTTCTTCCTCATCAGTTACCAATTATTCTTCCCATTCACTTAGCAGTAGTTCTTCCTCATCAGAATCCAGGAATTATTCTTCATCAGCAACCAGTAATTCTACATCATTAGTAACCAGTAGCTATTCCTCCTCAGTAACCAGTAGTCCTTACTCATCGGCATCCAGTAGTTCTTCCTCATCACTAACCAGTAGTTCTTCCTCCTCACTAACCAGTAGATCTTCCTCATCAGTAACCAGTAGTTCTGCCATATCTCGAATCAGTAGTTCTTCCAAATCACTAACCAGTAGTTCTTCAATATCACTAAGCAGTAGTTCTTCATCAATAAGCAGTAATTCTTCCTCATCAATAAGCAGTAGTTCTTCTCCATCTGCAAGCAGTAGTTCTTTGCCATCAGAGAAAAGTAGTTCTTTCTCAACAATAATCATTCGTTCTTACTCATCAGTAACTAGTAATTCTTTCTCATCACTAATCAGTAGCTTTTACTCATCACTAACCAGTAGTTCTTACCCATATCTAACCAGTAGTTCTCCCCAATCTTTATCCAGTAGTTCTTCATCATTAACCGGTAGTTCTTCCTCATCATTAACCAGTAGTTCCTCCTCAGCAGTAACCAATAGTTCTTCCTCATCAGTAACCAGTAAATATTCCTCATCGCTAACCAATAGTTCTTCCTCATCATTAAGCAGTAACTCTTCCTCATCAGGAATCAGTAGTTATTACTCATCAGTAACCACAAGTTCGTCCTCATCAGTGACAAGCCGTTCTTCCTCACCAGTAACCGGTAATTCTTCCTCATCACTAACCGGTAGTTCTTCCTCATCAGTAACGAACTTCTCGTCTTCATTAGTAACCAGCAATTCTTCCTCATCACTAGCCAGTAGTTATTCCCCATTATTAACCAGTAGTTCTTCCTCATCATTAACCAGTACTTCTTCACCATTAACCAGTAGTTCTTCCTCATCAGTAACCAGCAGCTCTTCACCAATAGTAACCAGTAGTTCTTACTCATCACTAACCAGTAGTTCTTCACCATCTCTAACAAGCAGTTCTTCCTCATCAGTAACCAGCAACTCTTCCTCATCAGGAACCATGAGTTCTTCCTTATCAGAAACCAGAAGTTCTTCCTCATCACTAACCAGAAATTCCTCTTCGTCACTAACCAGTAGTTCTTACTCATCACTTACAAGTAGTTCTTCCCAATATCTAACCAGTAGTTCTTCCCCATCTCTAACAAGTAGTTCATTCTCATCATTAACCAGTAGTTCCTGCTCATCTGTAAAAATCATATCTTCCTCGTCAGTGACAAGCAGTTCTTCCTCATCAGTAACTAGTATTTCTTCCTCATCAGAATGCAGCATTTCCACCCAATCACAATCCAGAAGTTCCTCCAAGTCTCTAAAGAGCAGTTCTTCCCTATCAGTATCCAGTATTTCTTCATCACTAACTAGTAGTTCTTCCTCATCAGTAACCAGCAATTCTTCCTCAACAGTACCAGCTGTTCTTCCTTATTAGAAACCAGAAGTTCTTCCTTATCAGAAACCAGCAGTTCTTCGTCAGCAGTAACCAGTAATTCTTCTTCATCACTCACCAGTAGTTCTTCCCCATCTCTAACTAGTAGTTCTCCCTCATCAGTAACCAGCAATTCATCAACATCAGTAACCAGCAGTTCCTCGTTAACAGAAACCAGGAGTTCTTCCTCATCATTAAACAATAACTCTTCCCCATCTCTAACCAGTAGTTCATCTTCATCATTAACCAGCAGCTCTTCCTCATCATTAACGAGTAGTTGCCCCTCACCAGTAACCAGCCGTTCTTTCTCATCATTACTCAGTAGTTCCCCCTCATCATTAACCAGTAGTTCTTCCTCATCAGTAACCAGGAGTTCTTCGACATCACAAGCCAGTAGTACTTCCAAATTACTAACGAGTAGTTCTTCCCCATCACTAACCAATGCATCTTCTTCATCACTAAGCAGTAGTTCTTCCTCATCAATAAGCAGTAGTTCTTCTACATCTGCAACTAGTAGTTCGTTGCCATCAGAGAAAAGTAGTTCTAACCCATCAAAAACCAGCCTTTCCTCCTCATCAGTAACTAGTAGTTCTCCCCCATCAGTAAGCAGTAGTTCAAACTCATCACTAACAAGAAGTTCTTACTCCTCTCTAAGTAGATCTTACTCAACACTAAACAGTAGTTATTCCCCATCACTTACCAGTAGTTATTCCACATTATTAACCAGTAGTTCTTCCTCATCACTAACAAGTAGTTCTTCACCACTAACAAGTAGTTCTTCCTCATCAGTAACCAGTAGTACTTCCTCAATACCTAGCAGTAGTTCTTACTCATCACTAACCAGTAGTTCTTCCCCATCTCTAACAATCAGTTCGTCCTCATCAGTAACCAGCAATTCTTCCTCTTCAGTAAGCAGTAGTTATTACTCATCAGTTACCAGAAGATCGTCCTCATCAGTGACAATCCGTTCTTCCTCATCAGTAACCGGTAATTCTTCCTCATCACTAACCGGTAGTTCTTCCTCATCAGTAACGAACTTCTCTTCTTCATCAGTAACCAGTAATTCTTCCTCATCACTAGCCAGTAGTTATTCCTCATCATTAACCAGTAGTTCTTCCTCATCATTAACCAGTACTTCTTCACCACTAACCAGTAGTTCTTCCTCATCAGTAACCAGTAGTTCTTCCCCAATAGTAACCAGTAGTTTTTACTCATCACTAACCAGTAGTTCTTCACCATCTCTAACAAGCAGTTCTTCCTCATCTGTAACCATCATATCTTCCTCGACAGTGACAAGCAGTTCTTCCTCATCAGTAACTAGTATTTCTTCCTCATCAGTATGCAGCATTTCCTCCCAATCACAATTCAGAAGTTCCTCCAAGTCTCTGAAGAGCAGTTCTTCCCTATCAGTATTCAGTATTTCTTCATCACTAACTAGTAGTTCTTCCTCATCAGTAACCAGCAATTCTTCCTTAACAGCAACCAGCAGTTCTTCCTTATCAGAATCGAGCAGTTCTTCCTTAACAGATACCAGCCGTTCTTCTTCAGCAGTAACCAGTAATTCTTCTTCATCACTCACCAGTAGATCTTCCCCATCTCTAACTAGTAGTTCTCCCTCCTCAGTAACAAGCAGTTCCTCGTTTACCAGAAACCAGGAGTTCTTCATCATCATTAAACAATAACTCTTCCCATCTCTAACCAGTAGTTCATCTTCATCATTAACCAGCAGTTCTTCCTCATCATTAACCAGTAGTTCTCCCTCATCATTAACCAGTAGTTCTTCCTCATCAGTAACCAGCAGTTCTTCCTCAACAGTAACCAGTAATTCCTCATCATCACTAATCAGTAGTTTTTCCTCATCAATAACCAGTAGATCTTCCTCATCAGTAACCAGTAGTTCTTCCACATCACGAACAATTAGTTCTTTCAAATCTCTAACCAGTAGTTCTTCCCCATCACTAACCAGTAGTTCTTCCTCATCACTAACCAGTAGATCTTCCTCATCAGTAACCAGTAGTTCTTCCACATCACGAACCAGTAGTTCTTTCAAATCATTAACAAGTAGTTCTTACCCATCACTAACCAGCAGTTCTTCTTCAGCATTACCCAGCAGTTCATCCTCATCATTAATCAGTAGTTCCTCCTCATCGGTAATCTTCAGTTCTTCGTCATCAGTAACGAGCACATCTTCCTCATCAGTAACAAGAAATTCTTCCTCATCAGTAACCAGTTATTCTTCCCATTCACTAAGCAGTAGTCCTTCCTCATCAGTATCGAGTAGTTACGATTCATCAGCAACCAGTAATTCTTCATCATTAGTAACCAGTAGTTATTCCTCCTCAGTAATCAGTAGTCCTTACACATCAGCATCCAGTAGTTCTTCCTCATCACTAACCAGTAGTTCTTCCTCCTCACTAACCAGTAGATCTTCCTCATCAGTAACCAGTAGTTCTGCCGCATCTCGAATCATTAGTTCTTCCAAATCACTAGCCAGTATTTCTTCCCCATCACTAAGCAGTAGTTCTTCATCAATAAGCAGTAATTCTTCCTCATCAATAAGCAGTAGTTCTTCTCCATCAGCAAGCAGTAGTTCTTTCCCATCAGAGAAAAGTAGTTCTTTCTCTACAATAACCAGTCGTTCTTCCTCATCAGTAACTAGTAATTCTTTTCTCATCACTAACCAGTAGCTTTTACTCATCACAAGCCAGTAGTTCTTCCGCATATCTAACCATTAGTTCTACCACATCTTTATCCAGTAGTTCTTCTTCATTAACCGGTAGTTCATCCTCATCATTAACCAGTAGTTCCTCCTCAGCAGTAACCAATAGTTCTTATTCATCAGTAACCAGTAAATCTTCCTCATCGCTAAATAATAGTTCTTCCTCATCAGTAACCAGTAGTTCTTCATCAGCAACCAGTAATTCTTCGTCATTAGTAGCCAGTAGTTCTTCCTCATCACTAATCAGTAGTTCCTCCTCATTAACCGTTGTTTCTCCCTCATCACTAGCCAGTAGTTCTTCCTCATCAGTAACCAGGAGTTCTTCCACATCACGAGCCAGTAGTACTTCCAAATTACTAACCAGTAGTTCTTCCCCATCACTAACCAATGGATCTTCTGCATCACAAAGCAGTAGTTCTTCCTCATCAATAAGCAGTAGTTCTTCTACATCTGCAACTAGTAGTTCGTTACCATCAGAGAAAAGTAGTTCTAACCAATCAAAAACCAGCCTTTCCTCCTCATCATTAACTAGTAGTTATCCCTCATCAGTAAGCAGTAGTTCTTACCCATCACTAACAAGCAGTTCCTACTCTTCTCTAAGTAGATCTTCCTCATCAGAAACCAGTAGTTCTTCCACATCACGAACCAGTAGTTCTTTCAAATCTCCAACCAGTAGTTCTTCCCCATCACTAACCAGTAGTACTTCATCATTAACCATTATTTCTCCCTCATCACTAACCAGTAGCTCTTCCTCAGCACTAACCAGTAGATCTTCCTCATCAGTAACCAGTTCTTCCACATCACGAGCCAGTAGTACTTCCAAATTGCTAACCAGTAGTTCTTCCCCATCACTAACCAATGGACCTTCTTCGTTACTAAGCAGTAGTTCTTCCTCATCAATAATCAGTAGTTCTTCTACATCTGCAACTAGTAGTTCGTTGCCGTCAGAGAAAAGTAGTTCTAACCCATCAAAAACCAGCCTTTCCTCCTCATCAGTAACTAGTAGTTCTCCCCCATCAGTAAGCAGTAGTTCAAACTCATCACTAACAAGAAGTTCTTACTCCTCTCTAAGTAGATCTTACTCAACACTAAACAGTAGTTATTCCCCATCACTTACCAGTAGTTATTCCACATTATTAACCAGTAGTTCTTCCTCATCACTAACAAGTAGTTCTTCACCACTAACAAGTAGTTCTTCCTCATCAGTAACCAGTAGTACTTCCTCAATACCTAGCAGTAGTTCTTACTCATCACTAACCAGTAGTTCTTCCCCATCTCTAACAATCAGTTCGTCCTCATCAGTAACCAGCAATTCTTCCTCTTCAGTAAGCAGTAGTTATTACTCATCAGTTACCAGAAGATCGTCCTCATCAGTGACAATCCGTTCTTCCTCATCAGTAACCGGTAATTCTTCCTCATCACTAACCGGTAGTTCTTCCTCATCAGTAACGAACTTCTCTTCTTCATCAGTACCCAGTAATTCTTCCTCATCACTAGCCAGTAGTTATTCCTCATCATTAACCAGTAGATCTTCCTCATCATTAACCAGTACTTCTTCACCACTAACCAGTAGTTCTTCCTCATCAGTAACCAGTAGTTCTTCCCCAATAGTAACCAGTAGTTTTTACTCATCACTAACCAGTAGTTCTTCACCATCTCTAACAAGCAGTTCTTCCTCATCTGTAACCATCATATCTTCCTCGACAGTGACAAGCAGTTCTTCCTCATCAGTAACTAGTATTTCTTCCTCATCAGTATGCAGCATTTCCTCCCAATCACAATTCAGAAGTTCCTCCAAGTCTCTGAAGAGCAGTTCTTCCCTATCAGTATTCAGTATTTCTTCATCACTAACTAGTAGTTCTTCCTCATCAGTAACCAGCAATTCTTCCTTAACAGCAACCAGCAGTTCTTCCTTATCAGAATCGAGCAGTTCTTCCTTAACAGATACCAGCCGTTCTTCTTCAGCAGTAACCAGTAATTCTTCTTCATCACTCACCAGTAGATCTTCCCCATCTCTAACTAGTAGTTCTCCCTCCTCAGTAACAAGCAGTTCCTCGTTACCAGAAACCAGGAGTTCTTCATCATCATTAAACAATAACTCTTCCCCATCTCTAACCAGTAGTTCATCTTCATCATTAACCAGCAGTTCTTCCTCATCATTAACCAGTAGTTCTCCCTCATCATTAACCAGTAGTTCTTCCTCATCAGTAACCATCAGTTCTTCCTCAACAGTAACCAGTAATTCCTCCTCATCACTAATCAGTAGTTTTTCCTCATCAATAACCAGTAGATCTTCCTCATCAGTAACCAGTAGTTCTTCCACATCACGAACAAATAGTTCTTTCAAATCTCTAACCAGTAGTTCTTCCCCATCACTAACCAGTAGTTCTTCCTCATCACTAACCAGTAGATCTTCCTCATCAGTAACCAGTAGTTCTTCCACATCGCGAACCAGTAGTTCTTTCAAATCATTAACAAGTAGTTCTTACCCATCACTAACCAGCAGTTCTTCTTCATCATTACCCAGCAGTTCATCCTCATCATTAATCAGTAGTTCCTCCTCATCGGTAATCTTTAGTTCTTCGTCATCAGTAACGAGCACATCTTCCTCATCAGTAACAAGAAATTCTTCCTCATCAGTAACCAGTTATTCTTCCCATTCACTAAGCAGTAGTCCTTCCTCATCAGTATCGAGTAGTTACGATTCATCAGCAACCAGTAATTCTTCATCATTAGTAACCAGTAGTTATTCCTCCTCAGTAATCAGTAGTCCTTACACATCAGCATCCAGTAGTTCTTCCTCATCACTAACCAGTAGTTCTTCCTCCTCACTAACCAGTAGATCTTCCTCATCAGTAACCAGTAGTTCTGCCGCATCTCGAATCATTAGTTCTTCCAAATCACTAGCCAGTATTTCTTCCCCATCACTAAGCAGTAGTTCTTCATCAATAAGCAGTAATTCTTCCTCATCAATAAGCAGTAGTTCTTCTCCATCAGCAAGCAGTAGTTCTTTGCCATCAGAGAAAAGTAGTTCTTTCTCTACAATAACCAGTCGTTCTTCCTCATCAGTAACTAGTAATTCTTTCTCATCACTAACCAGTAGCTTTTACTCATCACAAGCCAGTAGTTCTTCCGCATATCTAACCATTAGTTCTACCACATCTTTATCCAGTAGTTCTTCTTCATTAACGGTAGTTCATCTCATCATTAACCAGTAGTTCCTCCTCAGCAGTAACCAATAGTTCTTATTCATCAGTAACCAGTAAATCTTCCTCATCGCTAAATAATAGTTCTTCCTCATCAGTAACCAGTAGTTCTTCATCAGCAACCAGTAGTTCTTCGTCATTAGTAGCCAGTAGTTCTTCCTCATCACTAACAGTAGTTCCTCCTCATTAACCGTTGTTTCTCTCTCATCACTACCAGTAGTCCTTCCTCATCAGTAACAGGAGTTCTTCCACATCACGAAGCCTAGTTAGTACTTCCAATTACTAACAGTATTCTTCCCCATCACTAACCAAGGAATCTTCTGCATCACAAAGCAGTAGTTCTTCCTCATCATAAGCAGTAGTTCTTCCTACATATCGCAACTAGTAGTTTCGTTCCATCAGAGAAAAGTAGTTCTATACATCAAAAACCAGCCTTTTCCTCCTCATCATTAACTAGTAGTTATCCTCATCAGTAGCAGTAGTTCTTACCCATCACTAACAAGTGCAGTTCTTCTCCTCTCTAAGTAGATCTTCCTCATCAGAAACCAGTAGTTCTTCCACATCACACGAAATCTCATAGTTCTTCCATCACTAACCAGTATTTCTCTTTTTCTCCTCATCACTAACCAGTAGTCTTCTCACACTAACCAGTAATCTTCCTCATCAATAAACAGATTCTTCCACATCACGAGCCAGTAGTACTTTCCAAATTGGTAACCAGTAGTTCTTCCCTATCACTAACCAATGGACCTTCTCGTACTAAGCAGTAGTTCTTCCTCATCAATAATCAGTAGTTTTTACATCTGCAACTAGTAGTTCGTTGCCGTCAAAAATTAGTTCTAACATCAAAACCTAGCCTTTCCTCCTCATCAGTAACTAGTAGTTCTCCCCACAGTAGCCATAGTTCTAATCATCACTAACAAGTAAGTTCTTACTCTTCTAAGTAGATCTTACTCAACACTAAACAGTAGTTCATTCCCCAATCTCTTCCAGTTAGTTATCCACATTATTAACCAGTAGTTCTTCCTCATCACTAACAAGTAGTTCTTCATCCACTAACAAGTAGTTCTTCCTCATCAGTAACCAGAGTCTTCCCATCCAGCAGTAGTCTTCCAAAATTACTAACCAGTAGTTCTTCCCCCCTAAAAAAGGTCTTCCTCAAAACAGTTTCTTCCTCTCAAAAAGCGGTAGTTTTCTCTTTGTACAGAGTTTTTCCCATAAAGGAAATTTTTAAACCAACAAAAACCGTTTCTCCTCATTTTAGTAGTTCTCCCTCATCAGTAAGGCTTTTCCCCAACAAAAACCCGTAATTTTTCCCCTCACAACCCAGAGTTTTTCCCCTTTTCATTAACCGGTTCTTCCTCATCATTAACCAGTACTTTTTTCCCATCCCAGTATTTTTCCCTCTCGTAACAGTAGTTTTCCCCAATAGTAACCCAGTTTTTTACTCATACAACCCATATTCTTCCCCATTCTCTAACAAGCAGTTCTTCCTCATCTGTAACCATCATATCTTCCTCGACAGTGACAAGCAGTTCTTCCTCATCAGTAACTAGTATTTCTTCCTCATCAGTATGCAGCATTTCCTCCCAATCACAATTCAGAAGTTCCTCCAAGTCTCTGAAGAGCAGTTCTTCCCTATCAGTATTCAGTATTTCTTCATCACTAACTAGTAGTTCTTCCTCATCAGTAACCAGCAATTCTTCCTTAACAGCAACCAGCAGTTCTTCCTTATCAGAATCGAGCAGTTCTTCCTTAACAGATACCAGCCGTTCTTCTTCAGCAGTAACCAGTAATTCTTCTTCATCACTCACCAGTAGATCTTCCCCATCTCTAACTAGTAGTTCTCCCTCCTCAGTAACAAGCAGTTCATCTTTAATAGAAACCAGGAGTTCTTCATCATCATTAAACAATAACTCTTCCCCATCTCTAACCAGTAGTTCATCTTCATCATTAACCAGCAGTTCTTCCTCATCATTAACCAGTAGTTCTCCCTCATCATTAACCAGTAGTTCTTCCTCATCAGTAACCAGCAGTTCTTCCACATCACGAACCAGTAGTTCTTTCAAATCATTAACAAGTAATTCTTACCCATCACTAAAAAGCAGTTCTTCTTCAGCATTACCCAGCAGTTCATCGTCATCATTAATCAGTAGTTCCTCCTCATCGGTAATCTTTAGTTCTTCGTCATCAGTAACGAGCACATCTTCCTCATCAGTAACAAGAAATTCTTCCTCATCAGTAACCAGTTATTCTTCCCATTCACTAAGCAGTTGTCCTTCCTCATCAGTATCGAGTAGTTACGATTCATCAGCAACCAGTAATTCTTCATCATTAGTAACCAGTAGTTATTCCTCCTCAGTAATCAGTAGTCCTTACACATCAGCATCCAGTAGTTCTTCCTCATCACTAACCAGTAGTTCTTCCTCATCACTAACCAGTAGTTCTTCCTCCTCACTAACCAGTAGATCTTCCTCATCAGTAACCAGTAGTTCTGCCGCATCTCGAATCATTAGTTCTTCCAAATCACTAGCCAGTAGTTCTTCCCCATCACTAAGCAGTAGTTCTTCATCAATAAGCAGTAATTCTTCCTCATCAATAAGCAGTAGTTCTTCTCCATCAGCAAGCAGTAGTTCTTTGCCATCAGAGAAAAGTAGTTCTTTCTCTACAATAACCAGTCGTTCTTCCTCATCAGTAACTAGTAATTCTTTCTCATCACTAACCAGTAGCTTTTACTCATCACAAGCCAGTAGTTCTTCCGCATATCTAACCATTAGTTCTACCACATCTTTATCCAGTAGTTCTTCTTCATTAACCGGTAGTTCATCCTCATCATTAACCAGTAGTTCCTCCTCAGCAGTAACCAATAGTTCTTATTCATCAGTAACCAGTAAATCTTCCTCATCGCTAAATAATAGTTCTTCCTCATCAGTAACCAGTAGTTCTTCATCAGCAACCAGTAATTCTTCGTCATTAGTAGCCAGTAGTTCTTCCTCATCACTAATCAGTAGTTCCTCCTCATTAACCGTTGTTTCTCCCTCATCACTAGCCAGTAGTTCATCCTCGTCAGTAACCAGGAGTTCTTCCACATCACGAGCCAGTAGTACTTCCAAATTACTAACCAGTAGTTCTTCCCCATCACTAACCAATGGATCTTCTGCATCACAAAGCAGTAGTTCTTCCTCATCAATAAGCAGTAGTTCTTCTACATCTGCTACTAGTAGTTCGTTACCATCAGAGAAAAGTAGTTCTAACCAATCAAAAACCAGCCTTTCCTCCTCATCATTAACTAGTAGTTCTCCCTCATCAGTAAGAAGTAGTTCAAACTCATCACTAACAAGAAGTTCTTACTCCTCTCTAAGTAGATCTTACTCAACACTAAACAGTAGTTATTCCCCATCACTTACCAGTAGTTATTCTACATTATTAACCAGTAGTTCTTCCTCATCACTAACAAGTAGTTCTTCACCACTAACAAGTAGTTCTTCCTCATCAGTAACCAGTAGTACTTCCTCAGTACCTAGCAGTAGTTCTTACTCATCACTAACCAGCAGTTCTTCCCCATCTCTAACAATCAGTTCGTCCTCATCAGTAACCGCAATTCTTCTCTTCAGTAAGCAGTAGTTATTATCATCAGTTACCAGAAGATCGTCCTCATCAGTGACAATCCGTTCTTCCTCATCAGTAACCGGTAATTCTTCCTCATCACTAACCGGTAGTTCTTTCTCATCAGTAGCGAACTTCTCTTCTTCATCAGTAACCAGTAATTCTTCCACATCACTAGCCAGTAGTTATTCCTTATCATTAACCAGTAGTTCTTCCTCATCATTAACCAGTACTTCTTCACAACTAACCAGTAGTTCTTGCTCATCAGAAACAAGTAGTTCTTCCCCAATAGTAACCAGTAGTTTTTACTCATCACTAACCCAGTAGTTCTTCACCATCTCTAACAAGCAGTTCTTCCTCATCTGTAACCATCATATCTTCCTGGGCAGTGACAAGCAGTTCTTCCTCATCAGTAACTATTTATTTCTTCCTCTTCAGTATGCAGCATTTCCTTTTCCAATCACAATTCAGAAGTTCCTCCAAGTCTCTGAAGAGCAGTTTTCCCTATCGTATTCAGTATTTCTTCATCACTAACTAGTAGTTCTTCCTCATCAGTAACCAGCAATTCTTCCTTAACAGCAACCAGCAGTTCTTCCTTATTAGAATCGAGCAGTTCTTCCTTAACAGATACCAGCAGTTCTTCTTCAGCAGTAACCAGTAATTCTTCTTCATCACTCACCAGTAGTTCTTCCCCATCTCTAACTAGTAGTTCTCCCTCATCAGTAACAAGCAGTTCCTCGTTACCAGAAACCAGGAGTTCTTCATCATCATTAAACAATAACTCTTCCCCATCTCTAACCAGTAGTTCATCTTCATCATTAACCAGCAGTTCTTCCTCATCATTAACCAGTACCTCCCCCTCACCAGTAACCAATAGTTCTTCCTCATCATTAACCAGTAGTTACCCCTCGTCATTAACCAGTAGTTCTTCCTCATCAGTAACCAGCAGTTCTTCCTCAACAGTAACCAGTAATTCCTCCTCATCACTAATCAGTAGTTTTTCCTCATCAATAACCAGTCGATCTTCCTCATCAGTAACCAGTAGTTCTTCCACATCACGAACAATTAGTTCTTTCAAATCTCAAAACCAGTAGTTCTTCCCTCACTAACCGGGAGTTCTTCCTCATCACTAACCAGTAGATCTTCCTCATCAGTAACCAGTAGTTCTTCCACTCACGAACAGTATTTCTTTCAAATCATTAACAAGTAGTTCTTACCCTTCACTAACCAATAGTTCTTCTTCAGCATTACCCAGCTGTTTTTCCTCATCATTAATCAGTAGTTCCTCCTCATCGGTAACCTTTAGTTCTTCGTCATCAGTAACGAGCACATCTTCCTCATCAGTAACAAGAAATTCTTCCTCATCAGTAACCAGTTATTCTTCCCATTCACTAAGCAGTAGTCCTTCCTCATCACTAGCAAGTAGCTCTTCACCACTAATCAGTAGTTCTTCCTCATCAGTAACCAATAGTTCTTCCTCAATACCTAGCAGTAGTTCTTACTCATCACTAACCAGTAGTTCTTCTCCATCTCTAACAATCAGTTCGTTCTCATCAGTAACCAGCAATTCTTCCTCATCAGTAGGCAGTAGTTTCTTCCTTATTAGAAACCAGCAGTCCTTCCTCATCATTAATCAATAGTTATTACTCATCAGTAACCAGAAGTTCGTCCTCATCAGTGACAAGCCGTTCTTCCTCATCAGTAACCGGTAATTCTTCCTCATCACTAACCGGTAGTTCTTCCTCATCAGTAACGAACTTTTCTTCTTCTACAGTAACCAGTAGTTCTTCCTCATCATTAACCAGTAGTTCTTCACCACTAACCGGTAGTTCTTCCTCATCAGTAACGAACTTTCCTTCTTCATCAGTAACCAGTAATTCTTCCTCATCACTAACCAGTAGTTCTTCACCATCTCTAACAAGCAGTTCTTCCTCATCAGTAACCAGCAACTATTCCCCATCAGGAACCAGCAGTTCATCCTTATCAGAAACCAGCAGTTCTTCCTCATCATTAACCAGTAACTCTTCCTCATTATTAATCGGTAGTGCTTCCTCATCGGTAACCAGAAGTTCTTCCTCATCACTAACCAGAAATTCCTCCTCGTCACTAACCAGTATTTCTTACTCATCACTTGCAAGTAGTTGTTCCAAGTATCTAACCAGTAGTTCTTCCCCATCTCTAACAAGTAGTACATTCTCATCATTAACCAGTAGTTCCTGCTCATCTGTAACCATGATATCTTCCTCGTCAGTGACAAGCAGTTCTTCCTCATCAGTAACTAGTATTTCTTCCTCATCAGTATGCAGCATTTCCTCCCCATCACAATCCAGAAGTTCCTCCAAGTCTTTAAAGAGCAGTTCTTCCCTATCAGTATCTAGTATTTCTTTATCACTAACTAGTAGTTCTTCCTCATCAATAACCAGCAATTCTTCCTCATCAGTAACCAGCAGTTCTTCCTTATCAAAAACCAACAGTTCTTCCTTATCAGAAACCAGCAGTTCTTCGTCAGCAGTAACCAGTAATTCTTCTTCATCACTCACCAGTAGTTCTTCCCCATTTCTAACTAGTAGTTCTCCCTCATCAGAAACAAGGAGTTCTTCGTTAATAGAAACCAGGAGTTCTTCCTCATCATTAAACAATAACTCTTCCCCATCTCTAACCAGTAGTTCATCTTCATCATTAACCAGCAGTTCTTACTCATCGTTAACCAGCAGTTCCCCCTCAACAGTAACCAACAGTTCTTCCTCATCATTAACCAATAGTTCCCCCTCATCATTAACCAGTAGTTTTTCCTCATCAGTAACCAGCAGTTCTTCCTCAACAGTAACCAGCAATTCTTCCTCATCACTAATCAGTAGTTCTTCCTCATCAATAACCAGTAGATCTTCCTCGTCAGTAACCAGTAGTTCTTCCACATCACGAACCAGTAGTTCTTTCAAATCTCTAACAAGTGGTTCTTCCCAATCATTAACCAGTAGTTCTTCCTCAACACTAACCAGTAGATCTTCCTCATCAGTAACCATTAGTTCTTCCACATCACGAAGCAGTAGTTCTTTCAAATCTCTAACCAGTAGTTCTTCCCCATTACTAACCAGTAGTTCTTCTTCAGCATTACCCAGCAGTTCTTCCTCTTCATTAATCAGTAGTTCCTCCTCATCGGTAACCTGTAGTTCTTCATCATCAGTAACGAGCCCATCTTCCTCATCAGTAACAAAAAATTCTTCCTCATCAGTAGCCAGTTATTCTTCCCATTCACTAAGCAGTAGTTCTTCCTCATCAGTATCGAGTAGTTATTCTTCATCAGCAACCAGTAATTCTTTAGTAACCAGTAGATATTCCTCCTCAGTAACAAGTAGTAGTTACTCATCAGCATC